CCTTTGGCCCAGGTCATGATCCCAGGGTCCTGGGATTGAGCCCCACATCAGACTCCTGCTTGGTGGAAAGTCTGCTTCTCCCTCTCCTGCTCCTCCTGCTTGTGTTCCCTCTCTCTGTGTTAAATAAATAAATAAAATCTTAAAAAAAAAAAGAAAGACATTCTTAGGCAAACAAAACTCATTGCTGACAGATCTGCTTTACCAGAAATACCAAAAGCAGTTCTTCAAGCTGAAAGGAAATGACACACGATGGTCATGTAAATCAGCAGGAATGGATGAAGAACCAATTTCAGCCGCATGTAGAAAGTATTGCTTCGAAGATTATTGGGGTTATCCCATCGGAATGCAAAGTTAGTTTAGTGTGCAAAACTCATTTAATGCAATACACAATTGACAGAATAGAGGGTAAAAACCACAGGACTGTCACAATGGCTGCAGAAAAGGCATTTCACTAAAGTTAATACCTATCACAATCAATCCTCTCAACCAACAAGGAATAAATAGGAAATTCCTCAAGTTCATCAAGATATCTAGGAAAAATCTATACCTAACATCAAACTTAATGGTGAAAGATTTAATGCTTTTCCACTAAGACTGAAAATGAGGCAAGTTTGTCTGCTTTTACTACGTGAGTTCGGTCCTCGTTAGAGTACATGTTAGGAGCTTGGAAGTTACCACTCATCCTAACAGATAAAAAGCTTAATAGAATGAAAACCAGCAGCTCTTCTTGGATCTGTAAGAGAAGGGAGGGAGGATACAGCAAACCAACGATTAGAGGAACAGATAGGTAAACAGAAGCCATCACAGCTTTCCGGAGCCAAGGTTCATAAGAAGAAACCTCCCCGGGAGCCCTGTCAGCAAGAGGCCCCGGGCTATGACTGATGGATGGCCGGAGGCTCAGAGTGGACAGTCCTGAGAGTTAATGACTTTGGGAGATCCAGTCATAAGGGCCCCCACAATATTGTGAGACTTATCTCTAGTACCTTGGCCAGGTTCCCACAGTAAATATCAGAGAAAATCCCCTCGTGCTTCCTGCTGGGGGAGGAGCCAAGAGTCATTTGGAAAGGGGCCAGAGCATTCTGTTCTTCTACTTTTTTTTTTTTTTTTTTTTTTAAAGCAGGCAGAGAGGGCGCCTGGGTGGCTCAGTTGGTTGGGCGACTGCCTTCAGCTCAGGTCATGATCCTGGAGTCCCGGAATCGAGTCCCGTATCAGGCTCCCAGCTCCACGGGGAGTCTGCTTCTCCCTCTGACCTTCTCCTTGCTCATGCTCTTTCTCACTGTCTCTCTCTCTCTCTCAAATAAATAAATAAAATGTCAAAAAAAAAAAAAGTAGGCAGAGAGGCAGGCAGAAAGAGAGAGGGTGGGGAAGCAGGCCCCCTGCTGAGCAGAGAGCCCGATGCGGGGCTCGATGCGGGGCTCGATGCGGGGCTCGATCCCAGGCCCCTGGGATCATGACCTGAGCCGAAGGCAGAGGCTTTAACCCACTGAGCCACCCAGGCACCCCTGGGGTGAATATATTTTTAAGGCAAGGAGCATCATTCAGCTCACTACAGGGCTGGTCAGATAGGCAGTCTCTGCCTTGTGCCTGCCCAAATTCCAGATACCCAGGAAGAAAACAGGTAGTTGGTATAAATCACATTGTTTGTACCGTTTATACATTATGAGCCACTCTGATCACTTTCTGGAGTGCTGGGAGCCCTCCTGAAATCCAGGTTGCCGAGTGCCTGCCAAGGGTCAAAGTAGTAAACACGGGTTTTCTGAGGATAAGCAGTTAGCCAGCTGCTTCAGCTCTTCTCTCTGCGTACTTCTTTTGTTAGATTTATTCCTAAGAACTTTATTCATTTTGATACAATTGTAAATAGATTTTTTTCTTTTTTCCCCAAGTGTGCAGTATTGTATTAGTTTCAGGTATACAGTAGTGACACAACAACCCTGTATATTAGTCAGCACCTGTCACAGTAAGTGCACGCTTAGTCCCAATCACCTATTTCACCCATCTGCTCACCCACACTTCTCGTGTGAATGGAATTTTTTTCCTGAAAATTTTCAGGGACACCCGGGTGTTAAGTCAGTTAAGCGTCCAGCTCTTGGTTTTGGCTCAGGTCATGATCTCAGTTTCCTGGGATGGAGCCCCACAGCAGGCTCTGCACTCAGTGGGGGGAGGCTGCTTCTCCCTCTCCCTCTGTTCCTTCCCCACCCCTGTTCTCTCTCTCTCTCTCATAAATAAATAAAAAATATTTTTAAAAGATTTTATTTATTCATTTGAGAGAGAAACACAGAGAGAGAGAGCATGGGCAGAGGGAGAAGCAGACTCCCCGCTGAGCAGAGAGCCTGACGTGGGGCTCAATCCCAGGACCCTGAGATGCTGAAGGCAGATGCTTAACCATCTGAACCATCCAGGGATCCCTAAATAAAAAAGCTTAAAAAAATTGTTTTCAGGGCTATCTGGGTGACTCAATTGTTTGATCATCTGCCCTCAGCTTGGGTCATGATCTCAGGGTCCTGGGATAGAGCTTGCTTCTCCCTCTTCCCTGAGATCAGTGAGGTGCTGGTTGACGAGTTTCCCTTGAGGGCAGGCCTTGGTAAGAACAGAGTGCTGGGGCGCCTGGGTGGCTCAGCGGGTTAAGCCTCTGCTTTCGGCTCGGGTCATGATCCCAGGGTCCTGAGATCGAGCCCCGCATCGGGCTCTCTGCTCAGCAGGGAGCCTTCCCCCTCTCTCTCCTTCTGCCTGCCTCTCTGCCTACTTGTGATCTCTGTCTGTCAAATAAATAAATAAAATCT